TAAATTATTATAATTATAGGTATACCTTGAATTTAAAATAGACCTACTCTATCGTATGTTAGACATGATAGCGAAAAAAAGCTGCAATTAGCCTTTTGCGAGTTATTATGTTGCCATCATGAATATAATTGATTTCTACAGTGCATTTGAATGTTTTAGTGATATTTAAATCAGTAAGGAAACACATATACCCTATCATCTCTGTTTGCCATTATAACATATCATTGTGACGTCTCTTACTATCGGTCGTTAAGTTAACGCATATGTTATTGCTACGGTTGGAGGTTTTGTAAATCGTTGAATTAGGTTACTTTTTGTTTTAGCTGGATAATTGGAATAATAAATTTTACATTGATGATGTAAACGCATTAAATTAAACCATTAAAAGATGAAATTACAGATATACAAATAAATCGTATTACTGTCATTTGATTTGTTGATTTTAATCTTTGCATATTATGTTTAAACTTAAAGGGACCGGTGTCTGATATTTTTTCGTATTTAAATAAACTAACGTGTAATTTCAATAATAATATATATTCAAATTTGTACCAATGTCATTAATGTAAATCAGTTTTAAGCAATACATTATGTTCAGCACATTCCTATTCTTCTAAACATGTTTTTAAATATTTGAATGGTTTTAAATATTTGACTTTTATGCATGTTTTAATATAATGTACCGGTAGTCAAATTCATATCTTTAATTTGATTTGTTGATTTTAATCTATGCATATTGTTTCAACTTAAAGAGACTGGTGTCTGATATTTGTTTGTAATTAAATAAACTAACGTGTAATTTCAATTATAATAATATTTTCAAATTTGTACCAATGTCATTAATGTAAATCAGTTTTAAGCAATACATTATGTTCAGCACATTTCTATTCTTCTAAACATGTTTTTAAATATTTGATTGATTATTGGTTGGTTTTAAATATTTGACTTCTATGAATGTTTTAATATATAATGTGCCGGTAGTCAAATCCATATCTTTAATTGCTTACGTGGGATAGTGACTGTCATAATTAGTTTTTTAACAATTGTAAAATCGAAAACAATTGTTTGCAATCCTCGTAGTCATATATGATTTGGTTAAATGTTGCTTCCAGACATGTATATAAGGTGTTGAATGTAACGAAACAGCCTACATTGAGTCATTGTAAGTAACAGACTACACACGTTGCCCCATGAATATTTCCTGTGCTAAATACTTTTACCGTTTGTTAGATAAAATGGCGAAAAACATTTCAAAATTCTGCTAAACAAATGAAGTCATTTAACAATTTTCCAACAGGTCGTATCATAATAAAAATAAAAGTGATAATGCTTATAAAAAGAATTACTGTTTAAGATAGCAATATATAAATATTTTTATTAAACTGTTACATCTGGATAATTTTGCGTAATAGTTATAAAATTGAGAATTAGAATGAGCAATATGTCAATGAGACAACAACCCGACCAGAGAGCAGACAATAGCCCAGCAAAGTGCAAATATGGTCAGTTTTATTTTTTGCGGTCAGGTATTTTGATATACAAACCAGCTTGAGATACGAAGCTATTATAATTTATAACTACAAGTAAGTGTTGTTTGTAAAAGGGGTACATATTGGCACTCTAAATTGATGCCAAAATAGGTTTTAGTCAGTGTGTCCAACTATTGCTGTCATTTGTAAAATGAAGAATGAGTTTACATATTTACCTAATGAAATATACAATTTTCGTAATAAAGTACAGATATAGTCATCTTTGTTTGATGCAAGCAAATAATCGTATTATACAAACCAGTCTGAGATATGAAAGCTGATGGTATGATGAAGACACTATTTTTCAATCAGTTTGAAATAGATGTGGAGCTGGCATGTGAATTATTGCTAGTGGTCCTTTGTTAATTTATGTATCATTTTCATTTTGCTTAGTTTCTTTTGTAACATTATCTGTCATCGGAACCGGGCTTACTGTGTGAATACTGTGTTTGTTTATTCTACATGGGTTTAAGGTACAGGGGGAGGGTAAAGATCTCACAAAATATGGTTAACACGCCGCGTTTCTGCGCCTGTCCCCAGTCAGGAGCCTCTGGCCTTCGGTTGTCTTGTATGATTTTTAATTTCAGTTCATTTATATGTTATTGAGTTTAGTATGACGTCCATTTTCACTGAACTAGTACACATATTTTTAGGAGCCAGCTGAGGCCTACCTCTGGTTGCAAGATTTTCGCGCTTCATCAAAGACCCATTGGTTGCCTTTGGCTGTTAGTTGCTCTTTGCTCGGGTTATTGTCCTTTTTACATATTCCACATTTCTATTCTCCATTTTATGATTTTTGATGAAAGTTAATAAATTTGAATAGAAGAAGGAAAACACTGGCATTTCAGATTGAATTGTGGTAATTATTTTCCAATATTGCTATCGTTAGTTTTATTTGTATTTCTGATCGGATATTGTTTTGTGTCTTATCGTTTGTAGTTGTGATTCTATTTTTGTTTTCTATTCGTATGTGAAAGTAAAGATAGATAACCAAACTCTTCATTCATATAATTATAGCTTGAAGCAACTATGTGCAAAGGATTTATTTGTTTTACATTTTGATTCGGAAGAAAGGCCGACATAGCTAGTTTCACTATTCTTGTAATTCTTATGAAATACACCAAATAACATAATTAGAAACCTAATCTTGATAATATATCCATTTTTTAGAAATTAACCTGTGTTGTTCTTTTTTGTGGCGTTGATCAATTCGTGTTACAGACACACAGTTCGTAATTCTATTAAGCTGTTTTTGTGTACTATCCTAAATCAATTTTAGTTATTCGTTGATATTCTGTGATTAACATGTCGAAATTTACTATTATATCATCTATTTATGATTTTTTTTGTCTTTCGTGTTCTTGTATTAATTTGTACTGTATTCTCGTCATGTAACGTGGTTATTTTAACTGTCTATTTAACATTGCCATAAAGTGCGGAGGTCTGGCTCGCTACAAAATCAGGTTCAACCCACCATTTTGTCTTTAAATGTCAGGAATAAGGCACTTGTGTCTAATAGTTTGTTCCTATGTTTGTTGCATTGTTGTTTGTTTGTTTTTTTGTTTTTTTTTGTTGCATTTCAGTTTTCTATTGTTTCGTTTTTTTCCACTTATAGTTGATGTGTTTCCTTCATTTTTAGTTTGTTACACATATTTGTTTTTCTCAATCAATTTATGACTTTTCAACGGCAGTATACTACTGTTGCTTTTATTAGTTCAATTTATGCGGAGTTGACAAATTTACTGATCGATGATACGGCTATATAATTTCATAATAAAGTGTTAATATGGTCAGTTTTATTTGATGCAGTCAATTATTTGTGCTTTACGAACTGGCCTTAGATATGAAAACCACTAATATTTCTTGTGACAGTTCAGTAAGTTAATCAAGTAGAGGAGAGGCAAACATTCTTCCTTAATGCTTAATATTATTTTTTGTTCTTTTTGGTCGATGGTAACTGTTTTTTAAGGGTTTTTTGGCTTGAAGCCTTATTTCTTAATATCTTATTAAACACAAGATAAGATTATAAATTAAAGCTTTTTCAGTAATAAAAATGCAAAAAGGCATATTTCTTTTTCTTTCTTTTTTTTTTGCAACACTCTTCTGCGGTATTTATTTCTAAATTCGCGTAACTTAGTATTATGACATTTGAAAAAAGGGTTATATTTGGTCTTTGTGCATGTAAAGTATCAAAACAACATACTACCAGTATGATTGAAATATCTAAACAAAGACATAGTAATACACCTACATCAAGCCAATAACCTCAAATGAAGATGTTTTTTTTTTTATTTTTATCATATACTTGTAGAAAATAATGGTATAAATGTACCCCTTGATAAAACTAATTTATACATATATTTATTCAATAAATTTGAAGAATTGTCTTAGCCGTGTGATATGACTTTTGTTATCAACTGCTTCCGGTATATATCAACTATTTCTGGTTTATATCAACTGCTTCCGGTTATTATCGCATGCCTTTCTTAACGTAATCGCAAAGCATTTCGACGTCATTCTGCAAATTCCGGAAAATAAACCTCAGTGGTACATTTAAGTGAAAAACATAGCTAAGTAGAATAACAGAAGGAATATTAGGAAACGGGAAAATATATTATTAAAAAACGCAAAACAAATAATACAATAAATGAATTTTATAACGTTTTAAAAAAGTTTTCATGTCTGTATGGCTTCTGCTGAAGTATATGATAAAAAGAACATAACATGTCATTTTTCATATCAGACCCCTTATCAGCTCATGGTCAAAATCATCCCTCGAGCCTGTCGGCTCTCGGGCTGATAAGGGGTCTGATATGAAACATGCCATGTTATGATCTATATATATATATAACTAACTAGCCGTTAATAACACTTTGTTGTTTTTTTGATTTTTTATACAACTTGTCTATCATCAGCTTTTTTAAGAGCTCATTATATATAACACACTGTTGAAGATGGTATTTTGAAGTATAGTGTTCGGTTAGGTCCGTAAACTCAGAAACCGTTATTTGTTTTTTGGTCAAGTTATTGTCTCTTCGACATATTTCCAATTTCCATTCTCAATTTTACTTTGGATCTTCACGAATGATCATATACTTAAATGTCATTTAAAAGGGCAACATTTAAGGTTGTCATTGAACTTCGACCTTGTTTTGGAATAATCTCTTAAATAGAGATACTTAAGGAAAAACGTACATTATATTAGATGTTCATTATATCAAAATGTAACCGTCTTCATTTTATGCTATTTAATGGAGAGAAACATTGCTATGATTGAGTACTTCAACATACGCTCACATAATGAATAACACATGTGTTTGCTGCATAAGAATGATTGTTTTAGTTTTACGGTTAAAATTGTATGTTATTGTGTTGTTGTATACCTGAAAAATGGATCAAAATCTGTATTTGCCATTTTATATATATTCCTTCAGGTTGCGTTGCACATATTGAATACAATGAACATTCATATCATTTTCAAAACATTTAATACAAAAGAAAACCAACGTTCACAAATAAAGTATTAAATAGCATTGTATATGGAGCAAATATTAGTCTTCTTAAATAACCAATTATTCAACTATTTTGTCTAAAATAAGACAGCTGCACATCGTCATAAAGTGAACTATTTTTTTGTTTCTTAATCTAAAAGCTTTGATGTCAGTAAATATATATAATTCTACCTTTAAGCTTGAATTTAAATATCATTGAAATTAACAACTTAACATCCTGATTATTCTTCAATTGATGTATAGTATATTTCACAAACCACAACAAAGTACACAGATTAATTTAGCATCAGGTTCTCTAGCAAAAGTCGTGGCAAAACGGCATGTGGAAAAGATTGCAAGTTCTGGACTTCACAAGCAATGCATTCTATATTTAGTTATATAATATATTATCTTATACTATAATATAATATAGACAATAATTGTGTATTGACTTGACATATCAACGATATAAGGATGAGGTTTAGAAACGGGGAAATATTAGGCTCCGCCGAGCTTTTTCCCCGTTCCGAGCCGAATCCTTATATCGTTGATATGTCAAGTCAATACACGATCATTGTCTTTATACTGCAATCTAGAACAAAAAATGTTCAATTATAGTTTATTGTTGTATTGTCATTATGTTGATTTAAATATTCGAAAAAAGACCTTTTAAAGAACCTCCACATCTGCTGGAGAAATATATAACACAAAAATGTACATTACCTGGTTTCAATGACACCAATCGATGGTGAACGAATTCGTTTGAGTATGTACAACATATCAACAATAAGCATAAAACATAATTCTAGTTCATTCTGCTCAAATATACCGAGTGCAGTATAAATGATATTATATTATACTATATTGTATACTATACTATACTTGTACATTATATTATATTATATTATATTATATTATATTATATTATATTATATTATATTATATTATATTATATTATATTATATTATATTATATTATATTATATTATATTATATTATATTATATTATATTATATTATATTATATTATATTATATTATATTATATTATATTACACCATATTATATTGTATCACATCATAAGCTTTACACTGCAACTATTCAATATGTATTATCTTTATAATATCAAACACACCAATAACAGATTTCAACGTCTATGAAAACAGTTTCTTCTAGAAATTCACCAAACTAAATTAAGGTCTCTCCTTCTGTCTTCTCAGACTGAAATAGACAATATTAACATTACAAATGCAAACAGGTTTTGAAGATTAATTTCAACAGAGGAATGATAGCAATGAAGTTTTAATTAAGGAAAACAAAACTTATTCTCGTTACACTAAAAGTTTTACGCTATATATATTATTTCATCGCTAGTGTTGCGATAATATTCATTATAATGGTACTGTTTATCTTCTGAATGTTAAGGTCTTTACTTTTCCAAAGGGAAATATATTATAGTTCTTCTGATTACAAAGGTCATTCCTTTTTCCAAAAGAGAAAGACCTTACTGTATGTCATCTACTAATTATAATTACCCCTTTCCACAAGGTTAATATACCTATGTCGGATGGCTACTTAAACTAAAAACGTGTAAGTCGAATAAACTTCGAATCATCTATAATGTCCTTTAATTCAGTTGACCATTATACTGCCTCAAGGTGACAATTATAGGTTGACCTCAACCGCTGACTACACTACAAACCAGTAAAAGTCTGAAATGGCCTATATCTGTACTCGACTGTACTGATTTTTACTCGACCAGTCTGAATTGGTCTGAATTTTACTCGACATTACTCGACCCCAGTCTTAACCATACTCGACTGTACTGATTTGTACTTGACCCTTATCTTTGCCATTGAAAATAGTCTGAACTATTACTAGACCAGTCTGAAACAGTCTTAACCCATTCTCGACCTGTACTCGACCTATTTTTTTCAGTCTAAACCATACTCGACCAAAGGTCTGAACAATACTCGACCAGTCTGGACCATACTTGACCATATAACCTCTACTTTTTCTAAATTTTAACTGTTAAAATAAATTTCTTTTTAACTGACATGACAACAGCCACAATAAAATAAAGATATATTCTAAAAACAGATTTTTACATTCTTACATGATTCTCAGATTTATCGAATAGAGATAGTTAAATCAAATTATCTTATATAATAATTTAATTATATTTATTTTAAAGTTTTAGAGTTTTGTTAAAAAAAGATTTTCTTTTACCTAAAAACCACACCTATACTGAGGGTAATTAAACCTTACTAAGGTGCTTCTTGTTTGGCATGTGTTTTTTTTTTAATTTAATTTTCCAAAATTCCTAAATAAAAACTACATAGGTTTCATATTTACATACAAAAAATGTACAATAGTTGTATAATTATCTTTTTAATGAGGTAACAACAGCCAACAAAATCACTGAAATTGTTTAACCTTATTTAAGAAATATATCTATTATTATAATTTGGGATATATTATATACAATATATATCAAAAAGGGATAAAAATTAAAAAAAATAATAAAATTGTTCTTCTGATTAGTGGTGAAGTATAAAGTAATACCCCCTGCTTGGGGCAAACTCATGAAAAAGATCACACCTGGTCAGAGAGTATTAAATTCTAAATAACATTCATTCAAAATTGCAACATCCTGTGAAACTTAAATCGCAAGGCCTTTTGAATTCACTAGATAAGTAATACACGAGTTTAAGAAAAATAGGGCTTTCTTTTTACCTGTAAAACACACATGTACTGAGGTAATTAAACCTTATAAAAGTGCTTCTTGTATACCATGTCTTTAATTTTGACAAAAATTATTTAAATTTAATTGAAATAAATTTTTACTGTAACTTTGGAACACATTTCCTTTTTTAAAAGTTTATCACCGGATTACTATGGAAGTTCTATTATCATGATTATATTAAAATCTTGGTTTAACAAAACAAAGGTGTCATTTTTAAAATTTATTAAGTTGCTTTATATGCTATTTTATATATATTTTAATTAAAAAATGTGTTCACTGCATTATTAGCTTAACTCAACTGACACCATTAATCTATACGAGGCTTAAGTTAATGGTGAAAATTGTCCAGTAATCATAAAATATATCTGAAACATTCAAAAAATTTTGAATAACATTGAAAATATTAGTCACAATTCAGTTTTGAGATTATTTGATCAGCTTGTTTTATTTTTATTTTAAAGGTTTTATATGTGTATGTATATAAGTGTTGATGAATATGGTGATGAAGTTATATTATGTTTATTGTGAAATTTTGGTTTCAATGCTATATCATGTATATTGAATACATTTTTAATTTCAAATTGTTATTCAAATTTCTAGCCAGGGGAAATAGCTGTTGTTAAAAACAGTTCCTAAATTGATGAAATTCAATAGATAGATACAAAAAATAGGTCTAGGTTGGTTAAGACTTGGTCAAGTATGGTTCAGACTAGGTCGAGTATGGTTCAGACTAGGTCGAGAATGGTTCAGACTAGGTCGAGCATGGTTCAGACTAGGTCGAGCATGGTTCAGACGAAAATAAAATGGTTAAGTACTGGTCGAGTAAAGGTTGAGTACAAGTTCAGACTGTTAAGTATGGTGCAGACTACAGTCGAGTATTATCAAGTAAGTTTCAGACCAATTCAGACTGGTCGAGTAAAAATCAGTACAGTCGAGTACAGATATAGGCCATTTCAGACTTTTACTGGTTTGTAGTGCTATACGGCTTGTTGAGGGATATTGGTATCAGTTAGCATTCTTACAGAAGTCTTTATTTCTTTTCGGCTCAAAGGTAAGTAAATACTACGGTAAAACCCGAAAGAAATTTCAAGATTCAAATAACCTTTATGGTGTGATATCCCGTACTAAGTTTTTTTTTCTATTTTGGAGAATAACTACAAACCATTTAAACAATTAAATTCACTGGTCGAGTTATTCTCCTTTAAAAGTTAATTTGTAACGGTTGGTAACTTAAACTTAAAAACCCTACAGAAGATCATCAATTCATGTGACCTTCAACATGCCTCAACGTTAAATTTAAATTGATCTTTCTCTTTGACTGCACACCTTGTTTAAAACACAACTTCTAAATTCATTTTTGCATTACAAAAGTCTTGACTGTTAACATTAATTTGATCAAGGGGCAACTTGATTATATTCAACCATATATTCCGTAAATGGCATAACCCCAGTTGAAGGTTCGTTCCTGAAAATACACTATAAACTACTTAAACTGAAAATCCTGGAAGGATGGTGTCTTCAGCAATAACATTGCGGACTAATGACGCTGACAAAGGTGAAGTCAGGTTCTTAATAATGAATGTTGTGTTTAGTGATCTCTACGTATCTCCTATATATATATCCGTTTATTTGGCAATCGCCAATGGCAGTCAGCAGGGTTTAAGAACATCAGTTGTTCGACCTGCTAGTCAAATGCGTTTTGTTAAAATATACTTTTTCACTTATTTTGTCTTTTGGAAAATGTTGTTTGTGCTGTATTTAGACCCCTCTACCAAGAAATTTGTTTTGCATGCACACGTTTAAAAATTGCGGTTTTTATCCAACGCAATCATATGTTTGAACGTTGTTTTCAATTTAGACTTGTTTATATATATACATATATATATATATATATATATATATATACTAGTCAAACACACAAACGTTACATGTTTGTAAGATCATTCATATTTTTATAACCAACAAATGATAACAATGATATTACAATGGAATAGTTGGCTAACATCATTTTAAGAGTACAATAACAAGCTTTCTCTATGTAAATCAATATTGCACATTTTCGGACAATTTTAACAGGACGAGCACATAATTCAGGTTAACATGTCAGTATCTTCTATAACCACCCCTTGCATTTATAACCGCCTGACACCTCCGTCGCATTGAATCAATAAGACGTCGAATAAAGTCTTGAAGGATGTTGTACCATTCCCTGAAAAGCGGTGTTCGGAGCTGGGCGAGCGTTTCCGGTGAATTTTGGCTATTCTTGATACGTAGTCCAAGTTCGTCCCAAAGATGTTGAATTGGTGATAAATCGGGAGACATTGCTGTCCATGGCAACACAAGAATATGGTTCTTTTCCAAAAAGGTCATTGGAATGAGTGCCACGTGACAACGGGCGTTGTCCTACTGAAAACGTGATTAAACGATGTCTTCGTAGAAACGGGAGAACAACTGGAGTTAGAATTTAGACCTTATACCTTGTTGCATTTAGATTACCACCGATGATTTTGAGCTCTGTGCGTTCCTGGTACGTTATTCCGCCCCATAAAATAGCTCCACCACCACCACCAAACCGATCTGTTTCATGTACGTACGCATCAGAAAATCGTCCATTGTGCCTCCAGAAGACCCTGGCTCTGCCGTCGCTTAATTCCAAGTTAAATTTAGATTCATCGGTAAGAAGAACCTGTCTCCATGTTTGCCTATTCCATCGAATCAGTACCCGAGTCCATTGAAGTCGCGTCATCATGTGACGCTGCGTCAGGATAGATCCTTTCAACGGACGACGAGCTCTTAGACCAACTTGACGCAATCGGTTACGAACTGTTTGGGCAGATATTCTGTGGTTATATCTTCCGTGGGTTTGTCGTGCAGTTTGTGACGCGTTTACAAATCAATTCCGGAGATGAATGATGCGGATGTGCCTGTCTTGGCGGAACGTCTTTTCACGTGGTCTGCACTAACGTTGTGGTACTAGTATCTCTTAGAAGAGCCTTAACCCTTGTAATAGTAATTCTAGATACATTAAAATCATTGCACTTGAGTCATTCCTGCTGCCAACATCTCAATAGCTCGTCCTCTCTCAGTTTGGTGTAGACAGGACATTGCCTTACGTGTAACTTTTTCAATTTTTTAATGCGACCTTATGTTAACAATCGTGTTCGACACAATTAATTACATAAAAAGGACACCTCTATACAGGTTGATTTTTGAAAAATAATGTTATTTGTTTGAAATCAGAAAATGACGTGACGTCATTTCCGATATTTTTACAAATGAGTAAATTTGATAGATAAATCATACAGGTTACTAGTTTTAATCTTAAAAATATTTGAAATTAATATATGTGATTTTTCTCAAATTAAAAACTAATGAAACGTTTCTGTTTCTGCCTAGTATATAATTACAATATTAAAAGCAACGACATCCCAAATTTTAACGAACGAATGACAAGACGTTAAGATTGTTTATTTTC